GTTTGTCTAAGAGTACAACTTCGCAATTTTTTGCTTCCTATAATTGTTTTTGAAGGAACAATGTAAGGAAAGAGATTGAATTGTGACTTATTTGGGAATATATGACTGTTGCAAAAATGTAATCTTGGTGATCACTCCTCTGATGAAATCTTCTTGCTTCATGCAGTTATTTTGTCAAAAGGCCGATATACTTCAAAAAGTTTGGTCTTTACTACTTCTTAAGAGCTCTACATACACCTATGAAACTGTACCATCTCATATCCATGTCCATAATCATTCGCTGAACTCTCAAAAAATAGTTATGATATTTTCTGTGATCAAATGGAGCGTTTCCATGGTTTGTTACAAAAAAAAGCCAAATAATTTCAAAAGCAAGCTTCTGGTTGAGTTTGTATGGTTGTTAATAATCTTTCTGAGTAGTTTAATTTGCTCAACTACACTTGCAGTTCATTTTCTTCACATTTTTGCTATTTTGTAAATGATAATCATTTTCTTATGCTATATTAATGCCAATTCAATTCAAGATATTATTAGGCAAACCCTGGTTGGCGTAAGGCAAGCATCATCATTACAGCAGCATCCAGAAAGTCCTGTCTCTACGGTAGCGCACGTGTTGCTCATATCTGAAAAAGGATTCTTAAACGCAGCTCAATTCTCCTAAAGTCTTTGAAGGGTCACATACTGAGTCCCCGACAGACAGAGGTTGGATCGCACATGTAGATTGTGGCGTTGGCTTGTGTATTGTTCATGGTAGTTTGAAGTGTTACACTGGCGCATTCTCCATAGCAGGATTGGAATCTTTAGGAATTTTCTCCAGCATTATCTTCATCATTTTGCAAAATTTAGTCTAACTTACCCAGCACTTGTGATGGCATTTCCGTTCACGTAGATTCCGGTCCAGCAAGAGATAGGGAATTCGTTGCTTGGAGCTGGGACTGGGATATTGATCTAAAAAACCAAAAAGGTAATTTTTTTTTCAAAATCCAGCGTCTAATTACACTAACGTTTGTGATGTTGGCTTGCTCGACGTTGCAGCTGTTCTTGTAATCGCAGCAACATCCTTTCACTGCACGATCTCCAGGCAGTGATGCGCAAGAGTTATGTAGAGGTAACGACCTAAGAGCGATAGAAGATGGATCTCCAAAATTTCTCATGTTTCATTTCCTGTGGACATAACTTACTTGCAGACTGGAGTGGGTACACACTGGAAGGTGGTTACGGTATCGCCATTTACAATTCCACTC